GAGAGAGAGAGAGGACCAAAGATCTGAGACCTTGGGGCGGCGAAACACGGAAATCGGTTCTTGGGAGGGAGGTGGCGTCCGCGTGACCCCCAACCGGCAGCTTCTTCTTCTTCTTCTTCTTTGATCGTCGAATCCGAGAGAGCGAGAGAGAGAGGGAATGGTTATAAACCGCTTGACGAAGAGGGGGGAGCGCTGCTACCCGGAAAGGAAATGGAGCCGGAAAGAGGTCTATTTCCATCACGCTTTGAGATGGGTGCAACCATTTGATCATCGGCCCGTCCTTTAGGATTTTGAATTCGAGCCAGCCATTATTCACATTCCCGAGCTCAACATTATTGGGCCGTGGAATTATTTGCCCCTTACAATCTCGCACGACATTACACTCATTGTCGCTAGTTTGGAATTTATTCAGGTCGGTCTTACAAGCTATTCAAACTTATTGTACCCAACGCCATCGTCTGATATCTGCTGGTTAAGGTTCAATGCAGTAACTTTTGTACCCTCGTATCTCCAGTTGTTTCAATAACATTTAATACTATGATCGTATATTCACTAAAAATAATTGATTATATATTCTTTTATATTATGTTATAGTGGATCTAAGTTAAATTTCGTATTAGTTTATATTAATTATATTTTTTTATTATATTAAATGACTATGGATTGAGATTCATTATTTATGTAATAATATATTAATTAATCTGAATTATTTATCTTTATTATGCTATTACTAGCAAATACTAATAGACTCGAACCAATTTATAGACCATGACTCTCTTAATCGTGGGTGACAATTATCTCAATGCAATTAGTGAATCATTAATATATTTCTATAAACATGGTGCAAAGAAGATATGAACGAAAGAAATGTACACCATTATAAATTATGGTGATTAAAGCATATTAATTATAGGGGTTATTTCGCAAAATTTGTATCACCAACACCGTTGCCTGATGTACAGCTTAAAACGTATAAAACCATGGGGGCTTTTTCGCAAATAATGTCTTGACCAATAGATAATAATTACGTAACAAATAGGGGTGTTTTGGGGACTTTCCTTTGCTGTGGGGCTTCGTATATAAACGCACAGAACCAAAGAGACGGGCTTCAAAGCGACGGCAGACGACGCTTCCGCTGCGGCCATCTCGAGCGACAGAGATCGTCAAGGAGATAAAGGTTAGAAATTATTGTGAAATCGACGCAAATGCAGTCCAATTATCTCTTTTAATCTCCTTTCTAGTGGTACATTAATCGCCTTCTGCTTGCATTTATTGTCCATTAATCAACAGATCCGGAACCGAAGCCGGACATGCTCGACGCAGGGGCGCAGCCGGTGAGTCTGTTAAGGTACAGATTCATTAATCGACTTTTATAGTCTTGGTCGATGCTAATGGTCGAGTCGGTGTTAGTAATGATCTTTGATCGTCGGTTGGTAGATATGTAGTCAATCCATAGTTGTCTGGTCTTTCAGAGTAGGAATCTCGAGAGTCTTCGGGCAACATGGATCTGCCTTCCAGCACCCTAGAAACGAGCGTCCGAATGTTAGCATCATCGGAAAAAAAGTAGCTTCTTTCTTTTCTCATTATAAATGTGAGTAATATCTTTGTACCGAGTAGAAAGTGGGGGGTTCGAAGAGAAATAGGATTATGATGATGCCCACAATTTAGTCACTGTAGTTTGGATCCTTCAACACTATCTTGAGCTCTGTGTTTGTATGGTGATTCTGAAAGAGCTATCAATCTTTGAGAAAACAGATACCTTGGATGGAGAATCACCTTCGCATGTCTTCTAGGTTTTTAATTAGACAATCAAGTTGTTCAACCAAAAAAGTTGTTCAAGTTATAATTTGTACCTTTAAATAAGCTATTGATGTAAATTATTAGGATCAATTGCTTTTGTCATTTAATCATATGATGCTTGCTTTTATTTTTGATTGCCATCTGGACTTTATCAAGTTGAGAAAGCTAAGGAAGAAGTGTTAATGTAGTCTCCTTAAGGAAAAACTTGACTGATTAAAGAACCAGTTGGAAGTCTTTATTGTGCAACTAATGATTTTCCTCAGTCGTTCTATTATGATTGGAAATACTATTTTTGTGTTGTACATGCTCTTTTCGCTGGTAGATCTATATTATGTAATTTCTGGGCATATTGAAGTGTGACATTAATTGCATGAATCACCTTCTTGGCCTTGTTTGATGTAAATTTATGCTCTTAGTTGCTGCTGGACTACATGCTCTTTCATATACTATATGCATTAGTGCTAGAGTGTTTGAGAAGCTTGGTTTTCAGTTGGACTACATGCTCTTTCAGATACTATGTGCATTAGTGTAAGATTGTTGAAGGAGCTTGGTTTTCAATAATACTTGATCTTCATTTTCAAGCAATTTACACTAATATTATTATATTTCCTAATTTTTCTGTAAGTCATCTGAACGTATGGTTACTTTCCCTTGCATTTATGAGTTATAATCTAAGAGATTTTCAACTATCACAAAATATTTCAGATACATATCTCCGTCAAAACCTTAGTACTTTAATTGTATGAGGTGTTAATATCTCCTTCCCATTAGATAACGTGATGTTAACTCTCTTCCTAATATGCTCGTAAAAAAACAGTTGGGACTTGTTGGTTCTCTTATTACTGACTAAAATTTATTGCCCTCTTCTTGCACGTGTTGCACATATTATTTTGGTCACAAATGAAGCCATGTTGTAGTATGGCTTCAGTGGGTGTATTGAATTAAAGATTGACATGATAACATTTGATAGTGGTTCACAATGAACATAAGAGCCATTTTATCTTCGCTTTTTGCAGTAGACTCTAGTCTCTGACCTCTTCTATGCCAAAGGTTGTTTTTCATCCAACATTGGTGACGTATTTGTACGTATAATATCACTGTTGTTATTGTTGGTGGTGCAGTGCACGCTTCCTGACTTGTGCTGAAGCGTAGAATAAGTTATCGGGAACACTAGGTTCTTGACATTGGGAATTGACGTTTGCTGCAAAAGGAGGGAGGCATGTGGACAAATACCAGCCAAATTTGTGATGCTGAGCTTGTCGTTTTTTGGGGCCCTATGTCAACTTCATGGTATAATTTCTATCCCATCATACTTGATGCAACAGCAGCCACATCTATTTTTAATTGTATCCTTTATGTGAGTTGAGATGAACTTCGCATGGTGGGTACCATTTTCTTTCCCAATGTCGATTAATCATGAGGCAGAATATTAAGACTGACGATACACATGTCAACTGTAAGGCTTCTTGCTTCTTCTTTTTTTTTTTTTTTTTTTTTTTTTAGCAAAGGTAAACGATAAAGATGAAATTTGATCTAAAAACTCTGTTACAGTAGACAAGATGTTTACCATTAAGCTAACTTATATCTTGCAAAAAATTTGTAAGATAAGGTTTTAAATCTCAATCCAGGGAAAATGAAACAGGTAGTTCACTACCTATTAGTTACATCATCATCACATTAATATTTAATGTGTAAAAATTTATTGAATGACGATTTAAAATGATATGACCGAATGCTATGATCTTTATCTTGGTATCTTGAGGCAATTGTATATGTGAATTTAGATAACGTAAAGATTTTTCCAGGTACTTACTCGTAAAGGCTGGTACAAGTACAATTAGCAATATGTCTAATGGGAGATATAGTGGCATGGATATGCACATTTTTATCGATTCTGGTTTTCATGATGTCACTTTTTTTTCCTTATTATCGGAAATGAAACCCGTACTTATCTCAGTATTTCGTGGAATTTGCTTATGTGAATTGAGGTAACTAAAATAATTTTGGGAAAATATGTAAGTGCTATTACAAGTACAACTAGCAATGTGACTAATTGGAGATACATTGGCATGATTTCCATGATGCAGCTTTTTTCACTTATTATTGCGAATGAAGCCTAAGTAACGCTATACTTGTTATACTCTCTCGGTTGCCCCGTTGTCAGATGATGATGTATTGCTTGATTAGTTTTGACGCAAATTAACCGCTTCTTTTTGGCAGCCTTTTCTGAAACAAATGATATACGATTTGCAGAAAATAGGAAGATTGTGGAGATCTCAGATATTGGTGGAAGGTCACACCTGACAACCCAAAAGTTGGAGATTTGAGAAAGCTAGAGGTGAATCATGTGATGCTGCTTCACGAGGCCATTCACAGGTACAATTTGAGCACTCCACTTCATACTTGCTAAATGAGTGTTTTCGTGCTGATTGTGATAGCCTTATCAACTGCATGATACTGTTTACTATGTGAACACAAATTTCTCATATTTTTCAAGTTATTTTGAACACAATTCCATGATGCGAAGTGTCAAGGCAATACAGATAAGTGTTTGCTGAGTCAATAAATGAGACTACCTTGTACTGGGGAATCAATCTAGATAGAGTCTGTGACCTACCTTGGCATCCTAGAAAGTAGCTATGTTGACCCATTGTAACATCAAGTCCCAAGTATGTTGCCACTTTGATTCCAGTTTGATGTGAACAAGGGATTGGGTTGCAGCTCTTACCTGTGGTGAATACCTCGGCTTGGGTGTTAAAAAAGAATATTCTTGTGTAAGATTATGAGGTAAAAATTGAAAGACGACTATAAGATTCAGCTTACGATTTTAGGTAGAATTGGTATCAAGATACGATGTATGTTAACTAGTATGATTTACATTCATCATGAATCTCAACATAGAATTAGAACTAGTGTTTACAAAAGAATTTTCAAAAAAGAAAATAAATTTGTTTATAGTTTGATCTTTTCTTGTAAATATGGGCAGGTAATTGAACCATAGGTGAACAAAATAGAAGATGATGTTAAATAAATATCTATACGTGAGTTTGTGAGATGAAGATTAAAAGAAGAATCCCGCATTCTTCGGAATTGCATGAGTTTTAACATATGTTTGGTGGTTTTTGGATTGAATCGGTGTTGAATGTGATACATGTTAATCTTGATTAATTTGACTCGGATTATGGATTAGGATGAGGGAGGTAGTATATGGTGATCATGGAAAGGAGTTTGTCCCTGTCCACCGATGGCAAGCCTTCCACTACAAAGCAACTAGTTGTATTAGAGCCCCTGAATTATTAGAGAGATCTAGTTGAGCGAAAAGGATGCCCAACTTGAATGTGTCCTGCTTTAGGAGCTTTGGTCCCTGCAGCACCTGCAGCTCTTTATTCATCTCGATCCCCCTCCCCTGTGGCTTTTGTGATGGGGTGTTAGGGATAAAGTGGCCATCATTGATGATCTCCGCCCTTCACTTTCCCCTTCGCCCATGCCTCGGTGCTTCTGTGGCCAACAACTTCAATTGGGTCGGTTTCATCTGTCACCTTAGGAGAGCGACTGAGAAAGGCTCGCGTGCTGGGGTGACTCGTTCAGCATACACACATCTGTGCGAGGATATCCCCCGCTGCGACATGCGTCCTTCTCCACTTTGCCTGCTCGATTGCTGCCTCGTTGCATTGCATCTGCTCTGCCCTCCTGTACTGGCGCACTAGGCTGGCTCGCCCTTGTGCTCCCAGACTGTAGCTTCATACCTTTCTCTGCATGCGACACCGATCGAATACTGTATTGGAGTCGTAGTGCTGTGAGCTTCGGATTATGACCGGGGGAAATAGTGAGGAATCTTGAACAGAAGACGAACAACTGTGCGTTCTGTCATTGGCTGTTGTCAAATGATTGATATTTTACCTGCTCTTCCAATTTCAAAGTAGCACAGAATACAACTCTAGGTGTTGGAAATTGACCGGGAAGGTGATAGATTTCTTCTCTTCATACGAATACGACAGACGATTTTTTTCTTTCATCGTTATCATATTGGATTAGGTATCATGACGCCAATCAAACTTCTGATGCTAGAAAGGTCGGTGTCTGACGTCGAGGACAAACACGCAGCGGATGGATCTGTATCGTGGAAACGTGGGATCTTTCTTGTACAGGGACGACGGGGGATGGAAGAGAAGAGGAGAGGAGAGGGGGGGGGGGGGCGAAGTTTGGTTGTGCAGCGGGCCCAGTTGCCCGGCCAATCAATCACCGGCCATGGAGATCAGAGGGATGAGAGAGGACAGGGGAACGAGGAGGAACAGCTGGTTTCATCTCCGTTTGCCCTGGTCATAAATTAATGAGGAAGTAGGATTAGCTGGTGACACTGATGCTCACCTCCTGCCCTCGTAATCTTCCTTTTCCACGCCCCAAGGAGAGACTTTGGCACAGTCGTCATTAATGACGATATCACGGCGGTCCGAAGTCAACCTGCACTCCTTCCCCGTGATCACCACCTCCCTCTTCAACCTTTCATTAATTAGACCACAAATCCACCACGCTTTCCGTAAGCCAGCAGTAGCTTCAACAGCTAGTATAATATACAGGGTTAGGATCCCTTGTGGTGGACTCAATGAGGTGTGTACGCGGTAAGATACAACAGTGTTCAATTCATCTACTACAAGGGAATGGCCATTATGGAGAAGAAACAAACCATAGACATAAAGGCGGCCGATTCTTGACCTTCCATTTTGGTCTATATATATGAAATGGTCGCTTCCATGTGCTCCTATCTGTGAAGCAGAAGGCATATAGGAGCTCGTCCTGGCCTGGCTTCCTGTGTTAGGAATTTGCTTGATTAGTCTTTCTCCTTAGAGGAGGAGAGGAGAGAGAAAGAGAAAGAGAGATGGGGAAAGGAGAGGGGGATGAGGGGTGCGGTGGAAAGAAAGGGAGGTCTTCCTCCTCCTCCTCCTCCTCCATGTCCTCCTTTTGGACAATATTCATGCATGCCGACGCGACGGATGTGATGCTGATGACGATGGGGTTCATCGGCGCCGTCGGCGATGGGCTGTCGATGCCCACCATGCTCTATATGACGAGCAAGATCTTCAATAACTTCGGGAACGGACCTTCGGCTTTGTCTGTTTTCACCGACACCATCGACAAGGTGACTTATGCCTCTCCTTTCTTCTTCTCGTCTCTCTCTTTTGGATCCCTCGTAAGAAGCTGCTAATCCTTTTGGCCATGGCGCACCTCAGAGTGCGGTTTACTTGCTGTTCTTGGCGTGCGGAAGCTTCGTGGTGTCGTTCTTGGGTACAACTCTCACCACGCTTCATCCCTTTCCGTTTTCTGTAGCTCCCTGACGTGCATATTTGCCTGATGGTGTTGGTTGATGGCTGCAGAGGGATATTGCTGGACGAGGACAGGCGAGCGTCAAGCGTCGCGGATGCGAGCGCGGTACCTGAGAGCAGTGCTGAGGCAGGACATAGCGTACTTCGATCTCAACGCTGGGTCGGGCACCGAGGTCATCACCAGCGTCTCCAGCGACAGCCTGGTCGTCCAAGACGTGCTCAGCGAGAAGGTCTTGCTGCTCCTCGCCCCCACTCGCTTCTCTTTGATGAAGGCTTGAGCCTGAGATGCTAACGGGGGATCATGCAGGTGCCCAACTTCATCATGAACGGAGCCACATTTTTGGGCAGCTACGTGGTCGGATTCTTTTTGATATGGAGGCTGGCTCTGGTGGCCTGCCCCACGGTGGTGCTCCTCATCATACCCGGCCTCATGTACGGGAGGATCCTCATGGGCCTGGCGAGAAAGATGAGGGAGCAGTACAACAAGGCCGGCACCGTCGTCGAGCAGTCCGTCTCCTCCATCCGCACCGTCTATTCCTTCGCGGCGGAGGACTTCACCATGGCCAAATTCTCCGCAGCGCTCGACGACTCTATCAAGCTCGGCCTCAAGCAGGGCCTCGCCAAGGGGCTCGCCATCGGGAGCAACGGCATCACCTTCGCCATCTGGGCCTTCATGGTCTGGTACGGCAGCCGCCTCGTCATGTACCAAGGCGAAAAGGGCGGCACCGTGTTCGCCGTCGGAGCCTCCATCATCGTTGGCGGCCTGTAATGATCCAATCGCTTCAATGCCTCTCTTTCCCTTCTTGATGTCTGATAGATCGATGAAACAGGTCGCTCGGGTCGGGCCTTTCGAACGTGAAGTACTTCTCGGAGGCGAGCTCAGCTGGAGAGCGAATAATGGCCGTGATAAGAAGAGTTCCGACGATCGATTCGGGGAGCACGGAGGGCGAGGTGTTGGAGAGCGTATCGGGGGACGTAGAATTCAGGAGGGTGGAATTCGCGTATCCATCACGGCCGGATAACTTTATATTTAGGGACTTCAACCTGAAGGTGCCGGCGGGGAAGACGGTGGCGCTGGTGGGCGGCAGCGGGTCTGGGAAGTCCACGGTGGTGGCGCTGCTGGAGCGGTTCTACGATCCGCTCGGCGGCGAGATTTTACTCGACGGGGTGGACATCAGGAAGCTACAGCTCAAGTGGCTGAGGTCACGGATGGGATTGGTGAGCCAGGAGCCAGCTTTGTTCGCCACCTCCATCAAGGAGAACATACTCTTCGGGAAGGAAGACGCCACCATGGATGAGGTGGTGGCTGCAGCCAAGGCAGCCAATGCCCACAACTTCATCTCTCAGCTGCCTCAAGGATATGACACTCAGGTAGATCACTTCCATCTCCTCTTCTTAGTATTCCTGTGTGTCAAGTGTTGCTTTCATTATTGGTTAAGCTTATAATTAATGGATCAAGCTGCTGAGAAATAGCTAATTAGATGGGGCTGCTTCCTTCCACTAGAATAGATTAGAACAGGCTTTGTTTCTTTGCTTTATGTTCACCATTACAATCTCTTTACAGCTACCGACTAGATGATGACTATGTTGTAATCAAATCTAGATGCCAACATCTGCTATGGAGGATCAAAATATCCTCCATATAAAATGGCCCGAGAGGGCTAAGTGCATACATTATTCATACATTTCTTTTCAATCTTAATTCTGGTGTATAGGCCCGACCATTGGAAATCTGATTCCTGAGAGGGACCCGCGAATGGTAAGTTTATTAGTGGCTTGGTGTGTGCGTGGGGTGGAGTTCAGGAAAGTTCTTTTGCGTGCGCCATTATTGGTTTGTATTATTACTGATCAATCATCATTAAAATAACAACTTCAGTCTGTATCATAAGTATGTCTGGCGCAAAAGTCTTCGGTCTATTTATTAGCTTAGATGAAGGCTTTATTTCGGGGAGATCACATTCTGGTCTTTGAGCTCGACAATATTAGATTCCTTTGGTCTTAATTTCCTGCATGCAGGAGAATAGTCTCTGATGTCTAAGAACTGCCAGTACTGTGATTGAGGCCATAACGCTGACACAGGTAGGAGAAAGAGGGGTGCAGATGTCCGGAGGCCAGAAGCAAAGGATTGCCATTGCGAGGGCTGTGTTGAAGTCGCCAAAGATCCTTCTCCTTGACGAGGCCACCAGCGCGCTGGACTCGGAGTCGGAGCGGATCGTCCAAGAAGCGCTCGACTTGGCGTCGGTCGGCCGGACTGCCATCGTGATCGCGCACCGGCTTTCCACCATAAGAAACGCCGACGTGATCACGGTGGTCCAGGATGGGCAGGTGATGGAGATGGGTTCCCATGATGAGCTGATCAGCAACGAGGACGGGCTCTACTCGTCGCTGGTCCGCCTGCAACAGACGGCGAGAGCTCGAGAGGTCGAAGGTGGGGCCTCCTCCTCCGCCGCCGCCGCCATGACTGCTCTGACGGCGCACTCGCAGTTTGGCAGTAGCGGCAGCATGAGCCGGAGGTTCTCGGCGGCCAGCAGGAGCAGCTCGGCGAGGTCTACCGGAACTCCGGCCACGGACGACGACGGCGATCCGGAGCAGCCCAAACTCCCGGTGCCTTCGTTCCGGCGGCTGCTGATGCTGAACGCGCCCGAGTGGAAGCAGGCACTGTTAGGGAGCCTCAGCGCGACAGTGTTCGGCGCGATCCAGCCACTGTATTCGTACGCGCTGGGAAGCATGATATCCGTGTTCTTCTTGAAGGATCACGACGAGATAAAGTCGAAGACGAGGACATACGCCTTCGTCTTCTTGGCGCTGTCTATCTTCTCCCTCTTCATCAACATTGGGCAGCATTACAACTTCGGCGCCATGGGCGAGTACCTCACCAAGCGTCTGAGAGAAAGGATGCTCTCCAAGACCCTCACCTTTGAGGTGGCGTGGTTCGACCAGGATGAGAACTCCACGGGTGCAGTCTGCGCTCGGCTCGCCAAGGACGCCAACGTGGTAAGCACAGACAACCCACATATGCTCTTCCTTTAGGTGCACAGATCTACATCGCCATGCTCCGCAAATTCATGCACGAGATGTGTTTGTTATTTTGATACAACGCGTGGTGTGAGTGGGAGAGTTTGGACCTTGCCAGGGTAAAGTGACCTACTCTAGCATACGACTCGAGCTAAAGTGAGTCATAGTGACTCGCCAACTGTTTGAGTTATTGCCAAGACACAGTTTCGGAAACTGGAAGCTGTATTGCTTGGTGGGTGTGCAGCTCGTCGGGCTGTTGCTGACACGGGATTCAGGTTTCATCGTGCATCGCTGACTGGGGACAAACAGGACCGCAACTTTCCGAGTCTTCGCTTCGCTTCCGAGAATACGGGCGATGAGGAATGGTGGTGTGGTCTGTACGAGCGGTCCACGCCGCTGCCATTATTCTCTCGACTTTCTCGGTGGACGCACAAGAGAACAAGCCACAGGCGCCATTCTTTTAGAGATATGGAAGGATGAAATGATTCCCGAGGCAATCCGCTTATCGAAAAGCCCAGTGTTGCGTTGCTCGTCAACTCTTGTCTCATGTAAAGTAGCATCGCCACTGTAGCCAATGACTCCTACAGTCCTAATCGAAGGCCACTGCCGTGCACTGAAACCATGGAAGCATCCGTTCAGACAAAAGTCTTCTCCCGCCTCAGCCCCATGACATTGCATCTGCATCGATCCCGTGGAATACCAAAGAGCTGGGAATTGACTGCGGTAACTTTGGATTGTTTACTGGTTGATGTGCAGGTAAGGTCGCTGGTGGGAGATCGGATGGCGTTGATCATCCAGACCGTGTCGGCGGTCGTGATCGCGTGCACGATGGGACTGGTCATCGCATGGAGACTGGCCCTGGTCATGATCGCGGTGCAGCCCATCATCATCGTCTGCTTCTACGCCCGCCGCGTCCTCCTCAAGAGACTGTCGGCGAAGGCCATCAAGTCGCAGTCGGAGAGCAGCAAGCTCGCGGCCGAGGCCGTCTCCAACCTCCGCACCATCACCGCCTTCTCCTCGCAGGACCGCATCCTCGGCATGTTCGAGGCCGCCCAAGAAGGCCCCCGGCGCGAGAGCGTACGACAGTCGTGGTTCGCCGGCATCGGCCTCGCCTCCTCCCAGAGCCTCATGACCTGCACTTGGGCCCTCGACTTCTGGTACGGCGGCAAGCTCATCGCCGACGGGTACATCTCCGCCAAGTCCCTCTTCGAGACCTTCATGATTCTGGTGAGCACCGGCCGCGTCATCGCGGACGCAGGCAGCATGACGACGGACCTGGTGAAGGGCGCCGACGCAGTTGGATCCGTGTTCGCGGTGCTCGACCGCTGCACCCGCATCGAGCCCAACGACCCGGAGGGCCACCGCCCGGAGAAGCTGAACGGCGCAATCGACATCCGAGGGGTCGACTTTGCTTACCCTGCACGCCCTGACGTCGTCATCTTCAAGGGCTTCTCCCTCAGCATCGAAGCAGGCAAGTCGACGGCACTGGTAGGCCAGAGCGGGTCGGGGAAGTCCACCGTCATCGGCCTCATCGAGCGATTCTACGATCCGCTCAAGGGGTCGGTAAAGATCGACGGGCGGGACATCAAGTCCTACAATCTCCGATCGCTGAGGCGGCACATCGGGATGGTAGGACAGGAGCCGACGCTGTTCGCCGGGACCATCCGGGAGAACATCGCATACGGGACGGAAGGGGCCAGCACGGCGGAGATAGAAGCAGCGGCGAGGGCGGCGAACGCCCACGATTTCATCAGCTGCCTCAAGGACGGCTACGACACGTACTGCGGCGACCGTGGGGTGCAGCTCTCGGGCGGGCAGAAGCAGCGGATCGCGATCGCGAGGGCCATAATGAAGAACCCGGCGATACTGTTGCTGGACGAGGCGACGAGCGCGCTTGACAGCCAGTCGGAGAAGGTGGTGCAGGAGGCGCTGGAGAGGCTGATGGCAGAGAGGACGAGCGTGGTGGTGGCGCACAGGTTGAGCACCATCAGGAACTGCGACCTCATTGCGGTGTTGGACAAGGGGGTGGTGGTGGAGAAGGGCACCCACGCCGCGCTCCTCGCCAAGGGCCTTAAAGGCTCCTACTACGCCTTGGTGAGCTTGCAACAAGGCAACAAGGGGGCGTGAACGCGGCCATGCATCGCCTCTCAGCTGCCAATTTTGCTCTCTCTCCCTCTCTCTCTCTCTCTTGCATTTCTCCTGCAAGAGTCGGGCCACATGAACCTACACATCGTTCTCTTCTCACTTACCATGTCTCTTCTTTTATCTTCCTCGAAGTGTTGATAGATCGTAACAATGTTGTTGTTTTGCACTTTAATCTGTGCACTTCCTCCCAATTCTATTACTCTCTAGTAGCCGTAAGCATGCATATCATCCTTCAAAGGTGGCTACGGAAGTAAACAGATTAAAGAGCACCCTAAGATTAAGATTAATGATCCTACTTATATGATCTGACCTAATCTAGTCATCTTGGAATTCAGAGCTCACGAAGAAAGAAGTTAGCTACTTTTATGTTATTCATAATCTCTTTACTATTTATAATCCCTAAAAAATAATAAAATTATATTTTATTATTTACAATCCTTCAATTATAAATATTATCTTTTCTTCTTTTTTTTTTCATCCACAACTCCAACCCTCCTCGAAAGCATGTCCGTATGATCTTTTGATGCTTATATTAGTGAATACAAGATATAGGAGTGAAATACTAATATTTAATACATTTTTTTATGAATATTAGATATAATAGAAGAAAAAAAAGGAGAGTTCTTTTCTGTTTAGAATCTCATATCTTACCTCGGAGAGTTCTTTCTATTAGGGTTTGATGTTGACTTGTCAAATATCATTAACTTATCTTGTCAAGATTTGACTGATTAACACCCACGACTGACTTTGATCGGTGGAAAATATTTACCACATCAAAAACAAGATTGTTGGTTGTCCCTGCAAATGATTAAACATATGGTGCATCAAAAGTAGATGCCCGTCACCTGCAAATGAAATCACCATGTTTCTCCACCCACCTGACACAAAGTCCGGAAAAGCTGGCCGGACAGCATCAAACGGTTTTTGAAGAATGTAACGTGAAAAGAATGATGATGTGAGATAACATATATTTATACGTATTTGAGATATTTGAGATAGAGATTTCTCATAATCATATATTTAGATCATCTACTTGTACATATATCATGTTAATTAATTTTTAAATTATAAATTAATTAGAAATTAAAATATATAAGGAATATAATATTATCATTATATATTTGTCTCTACCGTGATCTTTTATTATGTCTCTATAATATTGAGTTTCCGTCAAGAATGTTAATCTTGAAATGAAGTGACTAAAATACTTTACAAGTGAAAGGAAGTCGATTGATTGGTCAAGTATGAATGTGAAAAACACAGAGTTGATGTATAACAACTTGGTCTTTGACAAAGTGGAAGTCGATGACAATGTGTTTCATACGAGAGTAGAACATCAGGTCGAAGCATAAGTAGGTGGCACCGATATTATCACAGTATATTATTAGAGAGGATTAGGATGTGATGTCAAGTTTGTATTCTATTTTTTGGAACTTCAATATATTTGCTCCAAGGAAGATAATATAAGTTGATATAGATGTTCTATCATCAGTATTACTTGCCTAATTAGCATAAATGAAGATATAAAGATAAAGAGATGAGTGTTTATGAAGAAAAAATTTATGATTAAGAGTTCCTTTAAGATATCACAAGATATATTGATCAATGCATAGTGAAAGGTTAGTGCATGAATTATGATAATTTATTTACTGTAAATAAAATATCTGGACATATAAGAGTTAAATACTATAAAGAACCTTGTACTTATCGATATTATGTAGGATCCATAATATAGCTGTCATTATATAATTTGAGTGACTTTATATAGGAGAGTGGGATGACAACTTCTTTAGTATTATGTATGTTCGCCTTTAATAATAGATCTCAAATGCACTTCCTTTCAGATAGAAAAAAATAAGAAGATATGAACGTTGCTTCATCTTTAAAAAAATAACTTAAGATTCTTATGTCTTTAATAGAGAATCAATTTAATAATTACCTGATCTTTATGAAATTATTATATATAATAATAATATCATTCACATAAATCAGTAAACATATATCACATCCTTTTTGTTATTATAAAAATAAAGAGCTATCAGATTTGGAGTTAATGAAGCCAACTAACATAAAAAATGAGTCAAGTTTAATATATTAAGCTCTTAAGCTTGATGAAGTCCATAAATAATTTTTTATAGATTATAAATATGATTTGAATATTGAGAGTAGATAAAGTTGAGAGGTTACTGCATAAAGATATCTTTAATTGAGGTCCTTTACAAGAAAGTATTATTAACATTTAGTTGATATATATTAGCCTTTAGTGGTAGTCAAACTAAAGATGAGTCGAATTATTGTTGGTATAACAACTAGATTAAATGCTTTTGTAAAATTAACACATGGTCATTGATGAAATGTTTTGGCCACTAGTCGTGCTTTGTATCTAGTAATAAAATCATTTGAGTTTCACTTAATTCAAAAATCCACAAACAGTCGATAATATTTTGTGTGAGGTGAGATAATACAATGGTCTATATAACATTCTTGAGTAGAGTATCATATTCCTCACACATGATTTTATGTTATTGTAAAGATTTTTTAGCTTGGATAATGCTTGTGGGTTCAGTAAGGCCTAGTGGAGAGATTATGACAATGCTGAGATTAAGGATTTGATATAGTTTGAAGATGCCATTTTTGGAGTATGTTATCATGTGATATTCAAAATCAGTGGTATCACTTGATTTTGTTGATGGTATGAGAATTAGTGAAGAGTTAATGACATATACCTGATCAATGTCATTCGGTATCACTTAGCTTAGGAGAGGACAAAAGCATCATTTTTTATGTTAAAGGTGTTGCTTCATCGAGTGTTACAAGGTGAGTGGTGAAAAGGTGGATGAAGAAATTATAGAAAGGGTGAGGTGTTATTAAACTATGATAGTAGACCGAAAGAAATTTTAATAGTAGACTACCAAAGCATCATTAGAGTAAACTATTTTAATAGTAGACTGAAAGAAATTTTCTATCACCTTTTTAAGACGAGTAAAGATTATGATAACTTCATTTTGAGAGGATAGAGTCTATATGTTTAGTAAAGTAATATATAAAAATAATATATAATATAAAATTATCAAAGAAAACGATTGGAGCAAGGGAGGAATATAACATCTTAGGGAAGAGAGAGAAATAAAAAGAGAGGGATAATAATAAAAAAAAAGGGAGGAAACCTTACTTGAGAGCAAAGAGAGCTTTCCTATGGAAGTACGATAATTTTATTTGTTGATATAATAATATATATATTTATTCAAATTTGAGGATGAGATTTTTTTGAATTATATACACGTACATTATGATGATGATGATTAATCTTTAAATTATAAATTAATTATAAAATATAAATATAAAATATAAAATTATCATTATACTTATTTCTATCGTGATCATCATCTCTGGAGAGGAGAGGAGAGGAGAGGTTCGGCTTGCAGAGGCTGCTCGCTTTTAAAAACCACTCGACCATAATAGCGAGACTCCGCCGTGCCTTGGCACTAAGCTATCACCACCGTGAGACTAACGACGGGTGTTTGCTTGGTTAACCTCCATGCATGAGTGGCCACACAATGCTATTACTATTTTTACTCCGTTGTCATGTCAAGTCTATCGAGGCATTCCATTTATTTTCATCGAAGATTTTGATTCATACAGCTCGTAAGACACTCATCCCATCCCATCCCATCCCATCCCATCCCGTTGCTATTGAACCAAAAATATAGTTTAAACTCCACTCACTATCTATCTATCTATCCATCAATAAAATCACCAAACGCTTTACGTATTCGATATGGAGTATTCTTTCTAAAATATGAAAAACTTTGATAATATTATTGTATTATAAAACCAGTACAGATCATCATTCTACACCTCTTAGAACAAATCCAAGTGATCCTCTATGATGATAATATTAAAGAAGAAAAAAAAAAGGCAAGAGCATCATATCAAAAAAATTTGAATTGATGTGAAAAGTTAGATGGATCTATCATATCAAAAGTGTTAGTTAATATTTTAAGTCAATAAAGTCCTGACTGTGATAGTAAAGGTGGCGTAGGATTGAGACTCGTTTCACCGCATTTCTTTAGAAAAATCAAACTAAATTAATTATCTTATAACATATAAAAGAGAATCAAACTATAATATAATATGTTATATTAGAGTTTGATTCTAAATTATATTGACATCAATATGATGCAAAAATTAGACATGTCAAATATGATCTCACATTTGAAGAATTGTTTTTTAGAGTTAAAAAGTATCTATTATAAGTAAAGAGAACTTAGAATTGTTTTATAGAGTTAAAAAGGATCTATTATCATTAAGTAGAATAAGATTATTTTGCATCAATGATTTAGATCTATCATTAAGTTAAAAATAATGGTGGATTTAAATATCTTTTTACTTCTCTTAAAATTTAAATTCTGGTGCACAACCATGCACGCGTGGCTTTCTTCATCATTTCATTCAAGCAAGCGGCTAAGAATCTAAGAATCCCATCCATGGCAAGCCTCTCCAACAAGGCAGCAACACCCCCGTGGATTGCTCCTCAGCTGCCGATTCCGGTCTCGGTGCAATATGATGTTGCTCATCCATCGCATTGCTTGTTTCAATTAGCTTGTAATCTTTCTTATGAATATTTTTAGGGGAAAATAATGATGATATGGTCTAGACTCTTATGCACAAGAATCTCTAGATGTCTTAGAGGTAGAAATACTATACTCTCAAGGTAGAAATATCATGCTTTTAAGAAGTCACGAAGATTGAAATCGGAAGGAGTTTCTCGATTCAATCTTTATGACGATTAAGTTAGTAATATGAGATCCCCAAATGTATTGTGTTTAAATATCTTTTTATATCTTAGAGGATAAGAAGAGAGTTTATTATTTTCATCGTAATTGATAAGAAGAAATGTCTTCCTTACCATAAAGGATGAGAAAAAAACTTATGATTATTTTTCTTGTCATAATGAATGAGAAAGGCTTGTGTTTCCTTCTTTGAAGATTCAGACATGTAGGTAGGCAGATAAATCGATAGTTACTTGGATCTCATGTGGCAACCACAATATGATAATAGATTTCCTATCAAATATAAATTTAAATAGCACACTTATGCCAACATGATAAGTTAAATGTATAATCCATCTAAGATATATTGAGCTCCACTCATATATGTATGTGTATATGGAGAATTGGGAGGATGCTTCGGTTCTAACATCTTACTCATGAGAAATTTTTCGTTTTGAGATCGTTCGATTTAACTAAGATAGATTAGAGGTTTTTGGCTTTTGACTTTTCCATTCGATCAAATAAAACTTCATTCATTTTAGTTGATATTTATCGTTCTTTCGAGGTGGCAACGAAAATTACAGATTAAAGAAGCACGTTCATATTGGGTCGTCCTATTCAGCCCGATAGCTTTCCAGCTTTGAAGGTCTAAAAAGAGGATGTCAAAAGATGGATCGATCGATCGATCCTCCATTATTGGATGACTTTATAAGATCCACTTGTTTCTTATTTCTTTTGTAACGATGTCTGTCCACTCTTTAACTAAAGGAACTAAATGCTCACCTTTTTGCATCATTAGTGTCCATTTAACTAACGTGTATCTTTCCTAGCCTTTAAACTTGGCTTCCCTTTCTCTCGAGAGCACCGCACCATTCATATAATGCATGGTTTCGTCGACTTGAATTGTTTTGTCTAAATAAAATGAGGAAATTAGTTCACATTTAAAAGTCCTTTACTATTGAAGGAGTATGCATACATTGTTTTTAGATCACATCATTTAATGATCCTTTAATATCACATTTGCTTAAGCGTCAAAGGCAGTCGGTACTTTATGTTTATACTATTACTAAAGGGATACGTAATGCTTATAGTAACATCAAGACATATCAGTGTGGGGATCTAACTTAATGGTATAGTCATAGATGGGATGGGAAGAAAATATAAAGGGCATTTTTTCCTTGAGCTTTTACCTAATGATGCCCTCCAATTAGTTTTTATCCAGGGATATCCTATGTCATCATCTTGATGAAAATATCCTTGCACCACCACCCTCGTTGGCATCGTCATCATCGCCTCGTTGCATCACGCTGGAGCGGAGGCGACTACAATACTAGCAATGGTGTGTCAACGATTAGGGGTATTGGTAGTGATGAAGGGGCATTTTTGTTCAAGTGATAAAAAAAAACATTAGATAAAAAACCAATAGTAAAGATTTTTTTTAAAAAATATTTAAATTTAAATCGACCTACCAAACTATTATTAATAACTTAGGCTTATACATTATGGGTCAATAGTTCAAGCTTAACGAAACTAATGATTCAATTTATATATTGAGTTAGATTATGACAAATGGTATCAACATCAACCAAGTATCGAACATGATAAGTAGTTTGAATAAAAAAGAGTTTATCATAAATGAAGGTCCACATAACATTTGATCAAGGTTATCTTGAGCCTTAAAATGAAGTCAAGCTTTTATTCGAAACATATTATGGCAATGTAACTTAGTTCTACATAAAAAATGAATAAACATTTATATTAACTTATAAGATTCTGATAAATAAACTATTATTAACCGGGCTTAAAGAGTATGGGTAAAGGGTTCAACTCAACAAATTTTAATAGATCACTTATCATATCAAATTAAATCGTGACAAATGATTTCAAAACCAACATAGTATTAAGCATGATGAAAAATTACTTTTGAACAAAATTAGAGACTATATAGACCTCATATGCATGCAATATGTTATCATCAATTTTTGATAAAAAAAAAATATAGAGTATGTATAACTAATGTTCACTTTACAACAAGTACACGAAGCTTAGATCATTGACAAGCCCATCATACTACTCTCCGAGTAGTATGAGATTAGAGTGGCATACAACAGTTAGATGGGGACACCCTTTACTATTGGCCGCAATGAAAGATTCCGATTTAACAGGCTGCAAAAGTATCAACGTACAGAGAGAGAGAGAGCACATCTTGTCCGTGCCGGAGACAGGTTCTTGGGAGGCACCACTTGGTGCAAACGACGAGCGATCCTAATGATCGCGTGACGAATTTTGACAGGAAAGCTAGTGATCGTGAGTCTTAGATCAGCTCCTACGGCCACTCAGTGCCTTCCGCCTCGTCGAGGAGCGTGACAGGTGCGACCAACAAGGTTCTTTGATGGTGTGGAACTGGGAAACACTACCACTAGCTTACAGGGGAAATTAATGGATGGCAAAATGGACTGTCGTCGATAGAGACAGATTTGAGTGGGGTGCGACACTTATTCGTCTTCTTCCTCCTCCTCCTCCCTCCTCGAGCAATATATATAGCAGGGAGAAGGAACGAGAGAAGGTGCAGGCGGAAATGGAGGTGGAAACGGGGAAGGGAGACAAGAAGAGAAGCCCTTTCTCCTCTTTCTGGACCATCTTCATGCATGCAGATGCTACGGACATGTTGCTGATGACTGTGGGGTTCGTCGGCGCCGCCGGGAGCGGCTTCACGACGCCCTTCATTCTCCTCGTCACCACCAGCATCATGAACAACCTCGGCGCCGGCCCCTCCACCTCCACTCATTTCATCGACAACGTTAACAAAGTTAGATTCTCTCCTCTTCTTTTCGCTCGACCTGCGTCTATATCTCATCCTTCTCACGCTTCCTTCTTCCCCCTCCCCCTCCTCCCTTCCCCAGAACTCCCTCGACTTTGTGTACCTGTCGCTGTTGGTCTTCGTGACGTGTTTCTTAGGTACGCAGACAACACCAAGCCTCTCCCTTTGCTTTCCGTCCCTTTCGTTGGCTGACGGTGGCTGTGGTGATCGCAGAAGGATACTGTTGGACGAGGACAGGGGACCGACAGGCCATGCGTATGCGAACGCGATACCTGAAGGCGATCCTGAGGCAGGACGTGGAGTACTTCGACCTCAACGTCACCTCCATGTCCGAGGTCATCACCAGCGTCTCCAGCGACAGCTTCATCATCCAAGACGTCCTCGGCGAGAAGGTGATCAGCACCAACTTCTCTACCCTTCTCATCACATGTCCTTGCACATGCACGTCCAGCGTTGCTGAACGACCTCGGGAACGTCGTCGCTGCAGGTGCCCAACTTCGTGAAGAACGTAGCGTTGTTCGTCGGCAGCTACTCGATCGGGTTCGTCGTGATGTGGAGGCTCGCGCTGGTTGCCTTCCCCACTTTCTTGCTTCTCGTCATACCTGGCATCATGTATGGTAGGATATTCATGGACCTGGCGAAGAATATCCGTGATGAGTACGAGAAGGCCGGCGCCATCGCGGAGCAGGCGGTCTCCTCCGTGCGCACCGCCTACTCTTCCGTCGCCGAGCTGCGCACCATGAGCATGTTCTCGAACGCGCTCGAGGATTCCGTGAAGCTCGGCCTGCGTCAGGGGCTGGCCAAGGGCGTCGCCGTCGGGAGCAACGCCGTCACCTTCGCCATCTGGGCCTTCATAACTTGGTACGGCAGCCGGGTTGCCATGCACCACGGTGTCAAGGGTGGCCATATCTTCGCTGTTGGCACTGCAATCGTCAGAGGAGGCCTGTAATACTCTCTCTCTCTCTCTCTCTCTCTCTCTCTCTCTCTCTCTCTCTCTCTCTCTCTCTCTTCTCCACCACGATCTCACCATACTCATTACTCACTCTATCTCTACTCACCATACTCACCATCTAATTGGAAACAGGGCATTCGGATCTGGGCTCTCCAACATCAAGTACTTCTCAGAGGCGAGCTCGGCCGGAGAGAGGATTCTGAAAGTGATGAAAAGAATACCGAGAATTGATTCAGACAGCACAGAGGGCATAGTAATGGAGAAGATCTCCGGCGATGTGGAGTTCAGATCGGTGGAATTTGTTTACCCTTCACGTCCCGATAGCATCATACTGAATGACTTCAACCTGAAGGTTGCGGCAGGAACTACGGTAGCTTTGGTTGGTGTCAGTGGATCGGGGAAGTCAACAGTCATCGCACTGATGGAGAGATTCTACGATCCACGACGGGGTGAGGTTTTGCTTGATGGAATTGACATAAGGAGCCTTAGACTCAAATGGTTGAGGTCACAGATAGGATTGGTAAGCCAAGAGCCAACCTTGTTTGCCACCTCCATAAAGGAGAACATATTGTTTGGCAAGGAAGAAGCAACCATGGAAGAGGTGGTGGCAGCTGCCAAGGCCTCTAATGCCCACAACTTCATCTCTCAGCTGCCCCAGGGATATGACACGAAGGTAATATTGTCTTCTAATGCTATATTTCCTGTCATTACAACGTGACATGTCAAATGCTTGTGTGTTACAAGAACTTAGTAAGGAACTACTCTGCAGGTAGGAGAAAGAGGCATTCAGATGTCAGGAGGTCAGAAGCAGCGGATAGCGATCGCAAGGGCTGTGCTGAAGTCGCCAAAGATTCTGCTTCTTGACGAAGCCACAAGTGCATTGGACTCGGAGTCGGAGCGGATCGTCCAAGAAGCACTCGACCTGGCGTCGGTTGGCCGGACCACCATCGTCGTAGCCCACCGCTTGTCCACGATCCGGAACGCCGACGCGATCGCTGTGGTGCAGGCCGGCCGAGTCATGGAGCTCGGCTCCCACGACGACCTCATTCGCGATGAAGACGGACTCTATTCATCCCTCGTTCGCCTCCAGCAGACGACGAGAGCAACAGTGGGCGAGGACTCCAGCTCATCGTCGGTAGCACCGGTAGCCTCCTCTCTGCTCTGTGACCGCAAGAGCCGTAGCTTCTCAGTTTGCAGCAGATCCAACTCTGCTACCTCTTCAAGGCACCAAGAAGCGCACGATGAGCTCGAGGCGATTGCTCGCCCGGTTCCTTCCCTGCGGAGGCTGCTGCTGCTGAACGCACCAGAGTGGCGGCAGGCGGTGATGGGGAGCCTGGGCGCGGTGGCTTTCGGCGCCGTGCAGCCGCTGTACTCCTTCGTGATGGGGAGCATGATATCCATGTTCTTTCTAACGGATCATGAGCAGATCAAATCGAACACGACGACGTACTGCCTCGTCTTCGTCGCCCTGTCGGTCCTCTCCTTCTTGGTCAACATTCTGCTGCACTACAACTTCGGGGCCATGGGGGAGTATCTGACGAAGCGGGTGAGAGAGAGGATGCTCTCCAAGATCCTCACTTTCGAGGTCGGGTGGTTCGATCGGGACGAGAACTGCACCGGCGCCGTTTGCTCTCGGCTCGCCAACGATGCCAATGTGGTCGGTGGTCTTCTCCATCGATAGCAATTCTTGATGTTCAAATCTCAGTATCACTTCACTGTCGTTCTCCTGCTGCAGGTGAGGATGTTGGTGGGTGATCGGATGTCATTGATCATTCAGACAGTCTCCGCTGTCACCATCGCATGGACGATGGGCCTTGCCATCGCATGGAAGCTGGGCCTCGTCTTGATCGCCATCCAACCCCTGATAATAGTCTGCTACTACTGCCGCAAGGTCATCCTTCAGAGCATGTCCAAGAAGGCCAGGGCGTCCCAGTCCGAGAGCAGCAAGGTTGCGACCGAGGCCGTCGCAAACGTGCGAACCATCACTGCCTTCTCGTCGCAGGACCGGATCATCCACCTGTTCGAGAGAACCCAAGACAGGCCGCGGCAGAAAAGCGTTTGGCAGTCGTGCGTGGCCGGCATCGTCCTCGGCCTCTCCGAGGCTCTCATGAGGTGCAGCTGGTCCCTGGCCTTTTGGTACGGCGGCAGGCTGATGTTTCATGGCCACATCACCGCCAAGGCTCTGTTTCAGAACGTGCTGATCCTAATAAGCACAGGCCGCGTCATCGCCGAGGGCGGAAGCATGACTTCCGACCTCGCCAAGGGAGCAGATGGAGTCAGCTCGGTGTTCGCAGTGCTGGATCGGTGTACCCACATCGATCCCGAGGACGACAGAGGTTATCGCCCGAAGAAGCTAGCCGGCGAAATCGACATCAATGGGGTTGACTTCGCATACCCGTCGCGGCCAGACGTGTTCATTTTTAGAGACTTCTCCCTCGCCGTCGAGGCGGGTAAGACGACGGCATTGGTGGGCCAAAGCGGCTCCGGGAAATCAACCGTCATCGGGCTCATCGAGCGCTTCTACGATCCGCTTAAGGGGGAAGTGAGGATCGACGGCAGGGACGTGAAGTCGTATCACTTGCGGTCACTGAGGAAGCACATCGGGTTGGTGGGACAAGAGCCGACTCTGTTCGCCGGCACCGTGCGCGACAACATAGCCTACGGCACGGAGGGGGCGACGGAGGGCGAGATCGAGGAGGCAGCGAGGACGGCCGACGCCCACGACTTCATCAGCTGCCTCAAGGACGGCTACGACACGTGTTGCGGCGACAGGGGAGCGCAGCTCTCCGGGGGCCAGAAGCAGCGGATCGCGATCGCGAGGGCGGTATTGAAGAACCCGGCGGTGCTGCTGCTGGACGAGGCGACGAGCGCGCTGGATAGCCAGTCGGAGAAGGTGGTGCAGGCGGCGCTAGAGAGGGTGATGGTGGGGAGGACGTGCGTGGTGGTGGCGCACCGGCTGAGCACCGTGCGCAGCTGCCACCTCATTGCTGTGCTGGAGAAGGGATCGGTGGTGGAGAAAGGGACCCATGAATCACTTCTGGCCAAGGGGCCCGCAGGATCTTACTATGGTTTGGTCAGCCTCCAGTCTCACTGAGCTCGGACACCCAACGTGACTTGTTGGTTGCCTAGACTTATCATCCGGAAAGTTTCACCGTCTTCCACCATTTATTTTTAGATTTAAATTTCGAAACCAAATTTTAGTAAATCTCATGTGTTGTCATGCCTGGAATTAAGAACATTCAATATATTATTGATATCTTGTTTTCCAATAAACCAAAATTTTAAGACTTATTTCATATTAATTTTTATTATTAATATTGAAATACTCATAAGATGATTATATTCCATTGGAAAGTTTCAATGAGTCTGGAGAAATTCAAAATGTTTTACATAGTTCAGTTTGAAGTAATTTAAAGAAAGTTGTTTTAATTCTCTGTACAAAATTAATTATGACTACTTTACTCGGCGAAGAAAAAAAGTTTTTTTTTAATTTTTGGAGTTCCTTTGTGATTTTCAATTATTCTTCTATAAGTATATGATTAATATTTTTATTTTGATACTAAAAACAATAAAGAATAAATACCTTAAAAAAGATTTTTTTTCAGAACATACTATCATGTCTTATAAGACTTAAAAGGTATAAGGTTATTAGAATACTAGTTACTCGCATGCATGTCAGACTCCTTGATCCGTGTTTCAAGACGGGTCAGATGGGGAGCCCATTGGTCGATACCTAGGTTGCGCGTGTACCCTGCGGGGCACGTCGATGGTGCGTGTCATGTCCTCGACCACATCGATGGTATCCCCTTGAATGAACGATCTGTCTGGGCTTCGGTTGTCGATACAGCCCGCATTGATCCGCACCCCGAGCCGAGCGACGGACCGGCTAATCATCGTTCTGCATCCGACCAAGGTGCATTGCCGACTCCCATCCACTTCCCTCCTGGCAATTTCCCGTCACCACCATGGTAGGCCCCAATCCTACCATCGAAAGCTGATAGGGCAGAAATTTGAATGATGCATCGCCGCATGAGGATTGTGCGATCCGTTGAGTTATCATGAATTATCGGAGCAACGAACAAAGCCCGCGTCAACTTTTTATCTAATAAATGCATCCCTTCCGGAAGTCGGGATTTGTTGGACATATTAGCTCTAGAATTATTACGACTATCCGAGTAGCACGTACCATGAAATGATCCTACTAAAAAAATATTCTCGGATTTTTTTTTCGAGTTTTCATTGAGAAACAGCCATTTAAAAAAAATTAAATAATATTTTTACATAATATCTGAATGATATTTTTCTTTATTTTCCTATTAATTGTATGAATCAGTTCAATTATAATATTTTTATACTGTGTTATAATTTATTTAATATTACTGAGAAAATAATATATATATATATATATTATTATAAAAATATTATGTTTATAATATTTTTATACTATGTTATACTGTTTTCAGTAATACTAGAAAAATACTGTAAAGTAGAATTAAAAATATTTTTTCAATAAATATTTAAAAATATTATCTGAAATATATTTTTTTATTTTTCCTACTAATCGATTCATAAAGTGAACCTGTCTGATTATAATATTTTTATACTATCTTATTATTTTTCTAATAATTTAAAAATATAATAATATTTTTTTTATATTTTATTATAAAAATATTGTGTGTTATAGTATTTTTATATTACGTTATATTGTTTTCAGTAATACTAAAAAATATTATAATGTAGTACAAAAAATATTTTTCATAAATATTTTAAAAATATTATAACATAGTATTTTTTTAACTATATTATATTATATTATAATCAGATTGGTTCATCTTACGAAAAAGAAAAGAAAAGAGGAGAAACATGAGTACGTCGCTGGAGGTATTTTTTATTTTGAAATTCTAGAAATACGTGATGTTTCTTTAAAAAAAAATCTGAAAAGATAGTTTTTTTTTTTGAAAATTCATCCTATAAACTTCACTAAATAATATTTATAAAAAGACCAATTAAATTTCCACATCCTAAGGAGGAACGTTAGTAATATAGAATTATAAAACGCCGCGTGACCTGACGACGACAGACAAACTACGGAATCTGCTGCCATCGAACAGATTTCTCGATTGCAAATTGATCATGTCTAATTTGCAATTAGACATCAAAATTGACGGTTAGATATTGCAATTAGACATCAAATTGATCATGCCGGACCGTAGGATGTTCAGGAAATCAAAATTGACGGTCAGATATTGCGGGTGAATGTTTGGATGTAAAATTCATTTATAGAACTTAGATAATTATGATTGGTAGTTCAACTGTGGCCGTTAGATGGTATGTGTAGACTCACACACATCCCTAGTTCCCCTCCATTTCCGTTCCCCCCACCCACCGCCTTCCCTCCTTTCCTCTCTGCCCGCGGATCTCGCTACCGTCTTCCTCCATGGCTGCCGCCGCCGCCGCCGCCCGCCGAGTCTCCTGCTCCTTGTTGCGTCGCGACCACCGCCACCTTCTTCCCCTCCTCCGTCCCTTCGCTTCCTCCGCTGGCGGCCAACCCCAGCTCACCGTCGAGACAAGCGTCCCCTTCACGGGCCATAAGATCGATCCTCCCTCGCGCTCCGTCGACACCAACCCCTCCGAGCTACTATCCTTCTTCCGGGAGATGTCCCTGATGCGCCGAATGGAGATCGCCGCCGACTCCCTCTACAAGTCCAAGCTCATCCGCGGCTTCTGCCACCTCTACGATGGGCAGGAGGCCGTTGCCATCGGCCTCGAGGCGTCCATCACCAAGAAGGACGCCATCATCACCGCCTACCGCGACCACTGTATCTATCTTGCCCGTGGCGGTTCCCTCGTCGAGTCCTTCGCCGAGCTCATGGGCCGCCGCGCCGGGTGCTCCAAAGGGAAGGGCGGGTCGATGCACTTCTACAAGAAGGAATCCGGATTCTTTGGGGGCCATGGGATCGTGGGCGCGCAGGTGCCACTAGGGTGCGGCCTCGCCTTCGCCCAGAGGTACCTCAAGGAGGGGACTGTGACCTTTGCGCTATATGGAGATGGGGCTGCTAACCAAGGGCAGCTGTTTGAGGCCCTTAACATCTCTGCACTTTGGGATTTGCCAGTCATTTTGGTCTGCGAGAATAATCATTGTGAGTACAAGAGGGCTGGGATGCAAAAGGAGGTAAAAAGAAGATTTCCCGTCTGTTGGATTTATCTAATGTGTTTCTTGGTGTTTGTTGTTTTGCAGATGGTATGGGGACAGCTGAATGGCGGGCTGCAAAGAGTCCTGCCTACTACAAACGTGGGGATTATGTCCCTGGTTTGAAGGTGAGACGGATGGAATCCTTTTTCCATTTTGTTGTTGATCTATGCCTTTGGATGTTGGAAAATACTTGACTCTGTTGCTAGGTCCATATGTTTTTCTACTGTTTTAATTCATTTGTCCAAACTAAAACAGTAAAATTGGTGTTGAATTTTACAAAATCATCGATTGAATAGAAGATGATGTTATAGAAAGCTTGAATTCTTTAGCCTTATGCTTGGGTGATTCTACTTTTATAACTCATGAACTACTAACGTTGTGGAGAACTAGCATCATCTCTTACTCTTTTATCATATTTGGTAGTAGAACAGTGTGCTGCAACTTGTAGGTTCTTTCGCTATGAAATGATTTTGCTTAATGGAATGTCAGGATAAGGACATGAGCTGGTGTGGTGAATGCCAAGTTGTTTATAACTGACATGTAAAATTATCCAATTAGGAATCAGATCAACGATGTGGCGATTATTATGTGGGTTGAAATGGAAGATACGAAACAAGCCATAGTGTCTATGCAGGGGCAAATGAAGGTCCATCGAGAAAATGTATACAAGTGCATGCACAAAGAGGCATCAATTTGTAGATAAACTAGATATCTGAATTTTTTGGTGGCAAAAGTAAGTTTTTTATTTTTTTTGTGAACAGTTAGAAGTCTACTGGGTATATCATCTGCACTGACATAATTTTGATATTTTGTGTGATATATAATTCTAAACTTTGAGGAGGAGATGTAGAAACCAAGTATCTGACAATTGAGTCTAATATAAATGGTATTTTGTCTCATTAGTATCATGATTTCAAATGGTATCACTTACTCAGATCATACAATTTTTGATGCTATAACACGAATTTTTTATCATCTCATATCTAGTAACAGTTATATATTCTCAAAACATAGAAGTAGTTCCAGTGTCTCCTGCTATTTGATGATTGGAAGTAGACCTTCTAGAAACTTTTCTCTTCTTAGAGAAATAACTATGACTCTCTGCTTTGTTTTAGCACACTGGGCATGTTTGGTTTCCCTTATTTAATTATGGAATGGGAGATGATGCATCCATAATTCTGATATAAATTGTTCCATAGACAAAATACATAGGATACAGAGAGTGCACAGTGAGGAAGGCAGGGGACCAGAGGAGGAAAAGACATGGTCGGAAGTATAAAGAATCTCAACAACAGTAGGAAAAGAGGAATATCATGGCCATGCCATAAATCAGAAGTTTCATCAAGAAAATCTCATATAACTCATTATCTTCCCCAAGACTTCTGTCTAGAGAATCTCATAACTATTTTTTTGCTGAGTTGTTGTCACATTTGGCTCATTGAAATTTGTTTGTTTTGGACAACAACAGATTTGTTACTTGAACTGCCCAAAATTTAGAAAATATGAAAACCTAATATCCTTAATTTTTGATAAAAATAATTCCAAATATAAATGGAAAATTCTCTAATGCTCAAGATTAAATAATGCCAACAAAGGTAATTGGGAAAAATACATAAAAATTGGAAAACTTGAACCTAACACTTCTAGACTCGAAGAAAACCTAAATAACTCAGTTTTGAAATTTGGGCTTAGATCGATCTTCATCAATAAATAAAAAGAAGGGATGATTAGGAGAGTGGGGGAGGGGGGTATTCTAATTCTGGTTAAATGATTGGAGACATCAAGTTGTTAAAAGGAATGACTTAATAAGGACATGTTATTATAATGAACACATAAACAACTATGTAAAGTAGAGATCTCTACGACGTACCTAAATTAAAATACTTGAAGTTGTTCTAGGTCAATAGGATCTTATTTATGTGCTTCATCTAAAAAATCATTTGCATCATGAGAGCTGCTCTTAACAATTGTATGTATGACAATGTATATCATTTTGTTATATTGCTCAATCAGCCACCTCTTCCAGTGC